TTTAATAATTTTTAATTAAAAAATAAATATATTTTAAAATATAAAAGGTGAGAAAATAATATAGAAGCATAATAATTTGCATATATATATATATATATATATATATATAAATGTTTACACCTTAATTTTACTTCTGTGGGTCCATACCCAAACTATAAATTGGTACTTTTTTGTATGTTTTCCCCCTTTTAATCTTAACCTGTCTCTCTCAAATTTATATATATATATATATATATATATATATATATATATTCTTAATAATAAAAATAAGTTAAAGAATATAAATTTTTATAATAATAATAATGTATTAATCAACAATTTTAATAATATATATATTTATAGATACTATAAGGATACTCCCACAACGAGATACATCTCGATTTTAATATTTCGTTTTATTTTTTTTGTCTCAGACGATGTTATAATACGGTTTTAAATGATTTTAAGAAAACGATAATGTTTTTATTTTTAAATAAAATATAAGTATAAAGATATATCATAAAAAAATTGAAAAAAATATATTGATATTGGTACGAAACTAACTATTTAAAATTTATCTTCTTTTTTTTTGTGTATTTCTTTAATTCATTTTTTTATTTTTTGTTTAATAATATAATTTTTTATAAAGATAATAATTAAGTATTTTGTTATAACTCAATAATTATCCTAATTATATTTTAAACTTTTTATATTTAAAATGAGATGTTTATTCTCTATTTGATTACGTTTATCTATACTTAATTACACGAATTCAAACATAAAGCTTTAATAAGTTGTATTTATACATAATTTACTTTTAATCTTAAATTTTAAATAATATATATATATATATATCTATAAACAGTATTTTATGTATAAAAAATAGTTTTAAAAGTCTTCGTGAATTTATAATATAATGTAGATAGTAGTTGTATATTTTTCAATGGGATTATCCCTTTTCCATAAGTAAATAAAGAATTAATTTTTATTTAAATGATTAAAAAAGGACACAAAACCAATAAGTTGCATAATTAATGTGTTGCAAAAATTGGGTAGGAGAAGCCAAGTCACATTATTTACTACCCTCTCATGTTATGTTGGGTTTTCTTTTGCAAGTTCAAGATAACAAAAGGGTAGTTTTGGTATTTCACTTCTTGTGAAATCTTTTTCTCAAATTTATTGGTCATAAATATGTCATCAAAATATAGTTCCAAAGTAATATTCAATGAACAATCTTCTTTCTATATTTCTTAATGCAACTTTTTCATGCCATTAGAAATGAGACTTCCATAACATAAAAGAAATATGATTGTTTTTTTAGGGTTCTATATCAAACGTTTATCTAGATAACCACTTATCAAGTAATATTATCTTATCCGATAAATATGATAAGTACCAAGAATCTTACGTGGTAAGAGTAAAGGCAAGTACCGAGAGTCTTACCCGTTAAAGTAATATTATCTTATCCGATAAATATGATAAGTACCAAGAATCTTACGT